GCGAGCGCGGATGTCGGGGGATCGCGAACCGCTGCCCTCCGCTCCCCTGGGGCTGTGTGCGGGGCTGCAGCTACCCGGAGCCAGGATGCGGGAGCGCCAGGGCTGTCTGCGAGGGTGAATCGCAACCTCAGCGTCGTTTTCAGGCCATCGGCTCATCGCTACCTCGGGCACGCCTAGCACTGCTCACCAGGTGCTCTTCTGAGCCCCCGACTTATGTTTTCTCTGTCATGTTTTGGTAGTGCATGTTGGCAGTACATAATGATTGCCTTCCTTGGGGAGAGTAGGCATCATTCACCCTTCAGAGCCTTTAGCGACATTTACCCTTTGGAGGACACTAACAAAGTAGACACTGATAAAATATCACCCCCAACTCCCTCCAAGAAATTGACACAGAAAGGTTAATAATGTGCCCCTGGCAACTGTTCATAGCAAAGATTTAAGTCTGGTTGGTATATTGTCTCTCTTTTTATATCAATCATACCGAGAAATAGTTATCAAATCAACACGAGAGCCTATTAAAAATTACTTCTTCACTTAGCACTGAATACAATAACAATAAACATAATGTGGCAATGTTATCATCTAGTTCTTAGTGGTGTTTTGAAAGAATGACTGGCGATTGGAAACAGAGATGGAAAGATCTTTCGGCTACAAAACCCAAAAAAGAATTTCATCATTCTAGCAGATAAGAATAAAAATTTTCATATGTTTTTGCATATTTAATTTTGCTAAAATTCGCATTTCAAAAACAGATTTATTTCAAAAACAGATTTTTTTAAATGCTAGTAGATTTCTCCGTTTGAATTTCATGTCAGTCTTGAAGTTTCTCTCAGTGGGGAGTGATTTTCTTGTTCCTTCTGTATCACATGCGATTACAAAACGTTATGGACAAACTTTAAATTGAAGTTTGCAGTATACACAGAAGAAAAAATGCAAATGCATTTTAAAATAGAGATTGTAGGTAAACTGCCCAACTGTCTTTCATTGTCTCTATGCATTTCATGTACTGGTAATAGTTGCAACTCAGCTTGTGCAACTTTCATGAGATTGGACAGACAACATGCATTTCCTAAACTCATTAAATTAGAACACGTAGAATCATTGTGGAAAGTGTGCCAGACTTAAGAGCACATATATTTCTACTCCAAGAATTCCTAAAGGATTCCTCACTGGATATTTTACTTTGTAAAGAGTCCATTGCATTGAATTTTCTTTTATAATCCTAGCATTTACTCTGAGATCTCCATGAGGGCTATTTCAGAAATCAGTGAAGGGGCCAGGGATGTAGCTCAGTGATAACACGTCTGCCTTGCAACACAAGGTCCTGAGTTTGATTCCTGTTACTGCGGAAAAGAAAAAGAGAGAAAGAAAAAAGGAAACAAAGAATTATAAATAGAAGTATAACAAGTAGGGAACCAAAAACTAAGAAAACAAAATTAAACTTGTTAAAAGAAGACTGCAGCAAAGAGTTCAAAACCACAGCAGTGCCTTAATTTTAAATAATCCATCCATCTTCTATAGGCATAAATTCTGACTGGCTATTTTATGGCAAACCTAGTATAAACATATTTTTTTTGTAATACCTGATCTATAATTTTGTTTTATTTGCATCTGGATCTATTTTGGTTAGACTTTCCAACCCTGCTTGAGCCAATGCAATCAACATTGAACTCATGGGGAAAAAGCACATGTCAAAATGAAAAGCACAAATATGTATTGGTGTAAAGTGTTATTTTATTATCAAAGAAAGAAGAGCCTTTGTGGAGTAATTTTATATTGTCTATTGTCTGAATTAAAACTTCATGTATTTTCCTCCTTTCCCTTTTTGTTTTTTGAAAGGAGGAATTTACTTCAACAAGTTAACTTTTCCTTTGTTGAGCTTGTAACAAGAGGTTCTCTGTATTCTAAATTTTAAATTGTCCATTAAATATAGCATAAGCAGTTAAATTTTAGACTTAGATTAAATATATCCATAAAGTGTCAAATACCTGAAATTATTGAATCCATACAGGTATTTTAATAACATCATATTTTATTTCAGAGGTTTTATTGACATTTTATTTCATACAGAAAATGTATATGAGAACAATTTTAAAGTTAAGATATGACTATGATTATTGTATCATTTAATATAGTTGGAGAACATTTCTCTTTACACAGCCCTGTGCTTCTTGTGGAGACAATTATTAATATTCAGACACTTCAGCCTATAAAAATAGAATGTGAATAGATTTCCACTTCTTTTTAAATAGCTTTAAAACTAGACAAAATATATGGGATAACTTTTTCAGATTTATCAACGTACCAAGTATAAAGTTATCATCTCAGAGTAAAGGGAGGCAAGTCAGGTACTGCCCTAAACTACTTTCTGGCCTGATGACATTTACCAGACTATTATTCTTCAGAATGATGAAACCTAAGAGCCAAGAGTTCTTGCTGACTTGACAGAGATGCGGGAGCTAGGAGAAGCTGAACCCACTGAAACTAGCTAGGGTTAAGAACTTGTGCAGTAGAAGTGAGGAGATCAGTAGCTCCTGAAATTTGCATAAATGTTCCCTAGAATCTATTAATAAAAATATTTTATGCACAAAGTTAAAAATTTGCATAGGTAAGTAAAGAATAATGGAGGAATTTGAATAATTTTCAAGATTTATATGAGTAGATTTTCAAATTTGGAATAGCTAAAAAATGACATCTTCATTGAATACTTACAGTGCTTTGTGGAGTCAAGGAAAAAGTAGTTCTATATAAGTCCAAGTTTGCTCTAGAGAACAAGCTAATTCATGCTGGTCCACACAAAATTTATAAGAAGTCTTGGAAATATTGACATACTCCACAAGAAGTTTACCTATCTGCCGAAAACATCTAACCTTTAACAATGTGAGATTTACACAGAATAATATCCAGTAGTTTTCCAAACTAAAGGCGGGGGGATTTGGCAGGAGGCATCCAGGAGAATGCCTACATAGAGATTCTCTCAGTGCGTTGCAAACATGACCGTATGGTGTCTCAGGGCACTGTGAATGAGCTTTGTAATGGACAGGACAAAAGCGTTGCAGCCTGCATCATGTAGCATTTGAAGTCAGAATGAACTATTTTCATTGTCAAACCAAGTACAAATCCATTCTGTATCAAGAAGGAGAGGTGATGAAGAGAGGGTAGACATCTTAGATTCCAACTCTTAATAAGATTTGTGCTTCAATCACCACTTCCTTTCCATTACCAACACATGATGTTTCCTTTCACATAAGTGGTGTCTCTCCAATTAATATAATAGTCTTGTAAAATATAGCATTGGGCTTATTACTCAGGAAATGGGAAGCTAAATTAGATCCTGGAGCAAATGAGGCTACGTAGGTTCTTTCCTTTATTATATATATATTCTTGATCTGAAGACTGATAAAGAAAAAATAAGATTTCTTGTTTCAATACATGGAGGCAAGAAAGATATAACAGACAGTGCCATTCAGGACTAAGAAACAGTATATACACAGCAGTCAATGGTCAGTGGTAACTATGAGACCTATCTGGAAAATGCCTCCATCTTGGATTTGAATTAAATGTTCTTCCCAGGAAAAAGATAAGTTTTTTTTTTTCAAAGTATAAATATCATGAATGATTTGTTCATGTCTGTTGTATATTTTTAAAGACAAAAGATAGGGCCAGGTATGCAGCTCAGTGATGCTGCCGCCTACCTTGCAAGCACAAGGTCCTGAGTTCAATCTCCAGTACCAAAAACATAAATAAAATAAAATAAAAATAAAGACAAAAGATAATAAAAAATATATACTGCTAAGGTGTTTGTTTATCTTTTGATAATATAGTCATTAATTGAAGTGTTACTTGTGGAATATTCACCATACAATAGCACTTTAATGGTTAGTGTTCCATCAACAAATTTACAAAATCAATCTAAGAATGGAGGAATCACCTTCTGATTCTCCTATTCAGAGAACGGCCACATTCTGAACAAAATGTCTTTTAAGATGCTTTATTGATTCAGCTTTGAGAAACATTTGATTTAATATCATCAATTGAAAGTCCCACTCTAAATACTATATTTCAAATCATTGTTAATAATTAGTTCTTTCTAGTAACTATACAACATAACCTTTTGACATGTTTATTAACACATTGTTTATATGAATGAATAGCTGAACCTAAAAACTTTTAGTGACTTGTGAATATTTTAAAATATTTCTTTACGTAAAAGAGATAAGGAGACATTGCTTCTGATTTTGTTACAAATAGTAAAGTGCGATACAAACTTTATAATATATAAATTGCTTCATCCTTTAACATTTTATATTTCACAATAAAGAAATATAAAAATGTCTCTCTGCAATACCAAAGTTTTAGTAACTTAAATTTCAGTTATTCAAATAGTTAAACCTTCAAATTCTAAAATTAATATCATTTGAAAAAATAAGATATTTCAGGAAAGAACAGCTTCTAGATATCAAACCCACCTTTTTAATTAGTTTGTAATTAATTAGCAGTCATGATTGAAATTGTTGTTACATTAAATAAAATAATGTGATTTAGCTTGTGTAAGAAATTAAAAATATCTTGGGATTTTTAACTATTTTGAATAATTAAATTAGGAAGTGTTATTATAATTATGTCATTTTTATAATTGATCAGAGATGTTGAAACAGGATTCTAGAAAACAAACTGAATATTTAATACAATAAGGGAAATTCAACACACAGCATTTACAAATCATAGAATTTCTATTTGCAAAACTATTCATTA